TCATTCCACCCACATTCCACTCAGCCCCACCCGTTTGGGACAGGTGGTCTCCTGCGTGGCCAGAAAGGCGAGAAGATCCAGAGGAGACCCTCGGTCACAAGAAGATACCGACTGCACGTCAGTGGCTCCCAAACGTGGCGGACGGAGGCCCCCTGTTGAAAATGCAGATTCCCAGGGCTCCAGTCCATGTGTTGGTTCAGGTAAGTGTGCGCTGGGCCCAGGTGACCCTGGCAGAGGTGGCCGGCAGACCGCACTGTGGGAAGCCTTGCTCGGGACGGACGCGGGACACTCAGAGGTCTATCAAAACGACCATCGGGCAGGCGGGGCAGGTGCTAACACTCCCGGCCCCGACCTCGCTCGTGCCCGGCTGGGAATGCGAGAGGTCAGGAGGATCGAGATGCAGATGTGGCCCCCACTGCCCACCAGTGGACGGTCCCGAGCCAGACGGGGGGCAGGCGACCAACTGCACTGGAGCAGAGTAAAGCGTGGCTCCCAGACAGCACACGGGGCTGTGCACTGTCACTCGCAAGGATAAACGGTGTGTGCCCGCGGCGGCCGTCACTGTTCACCGCGGGGTGCAGTCTGACACAGTCCGGCCCCAGTCGGTGCCTCGGAGGGACCGTCCCCACCTCCCAGCAGCACACGCGGACCGTCACATTCAGGCCCACTTCCGGCCACTCTTACCACCCCCCACCCCTCCCAACACACACTCTGTGCCGAGGCCACACCTTGCCACCCAGCCACCCAAAATGAGCGTCCAGGCCTCCAGGTCCTCACCCCAGGACACTCCGTCCGAAGGACTGTCCTTGGGCCAGGTCCTCTATGCCTGTCACTCGGTGCTTAAGACTCAGGTGAGATGTCAGCTCTGAACGGCCTTCCCTGGTGCCTGTCTCCTCCTTCTCATCCCTAATTAGTCCCTCCTTTTCGGTAAAGTGAGCGCTCTGCTCCAGCTACCACAGCGGCCCGGGCCTGAGTCCTGGACGGGACTCTCAGGGGTGACAACGAAAGATCCACAAGGTACTGTCAGTATTCCAAAAATCCACCTGCGAGCCAACCCCCCCAAGCAAGTCACCTGGACCAGCTAAAGCACCAAGTTCCCCCATGCCCAGTTAGAACTACACCAACCAAAGTTTATTCATAAAGGGGAAGGAAAATAACCGTTGTAAGTGCAAGCATCTAGACGGTGCCAAATCAGCAGCTGCCAACTGAATAAGTGATGAGAGAGAAATGTGTGGAGGCGAGAAACTTTCAAGCCGGTGAGTGCACGGTTTTGGGGTGGAATAACCAACCACAGTCCACTGTGCACTGGGTCTATCCAACTATGGGCACCCTGGCAGCCCTCCCCCTCTCTTTACCGTCATCCCCAGCACCTGCCCGGGCCTCCCACACAGGAAGCACTCAGAGGAGGATGTTGGATTGACCGGAAGTGAGACGAACACCACGGACCTGAACAACAGAGCATCCTGAGCAGGCCCACGGCTCCTGGGGGGACATCCCAGGGAGGGAACCCCCAGCAGCCACGAGGAGGCCGAGAGAGGGGAGGGGAGGGACTGAGGGAAGGACCGAGGACCCCGGGCTCCCAGGTGAAACAGACGGATCCCCTCCCCCCAGGCCAGCATTTCAGATCATCATCCTCTTTCCAGGATCCTTTCTGCAGAGCCGTGACAAAGAGTCTTCCGCACTAACTGGTCCTGGAGGGCGATGGCCGACAGCCGTGTGACAAAGGGGGCTGCCGATGACTGTTCAACATGACCGTTGACGTTCTTAGCAGCACTGGACTCACTGCATCGTGCCCCTCCAGGATCCAAAGAGCTAAGACTCCTCGAAATCAGTAACACGTCCTAGTCCCATCACTTAGAGGATGTGAGCCACAACGGCCACTCCCCCACACACACTGTTGAGGTGTCATCCCAAGAGCCTGATTTCAGAGCTGGAGTGACCCCTCTTCCCACACTGTGCTTGCTCCGCAAGGTCCGGCGCTGGCTTGGGCGTCTGCAGACATGCTCGCAGGATCTCTCCTGGAATGCCGGGTGGCCACAGGGCAGCAGATGCCCGCTGGGCCCCTGCGTTCGGCTCTGCCCTCGGTCCATACGGGAGAGCAAAGGCACCCCCGGGCCCACAAGCCTCACAGTGCTGCGTGTGGCCTCGACACCGCACCGGTACTTCGGTGTTTCCCAAACACGGCGTTCCTCTAACCAGTTTACACCCTGTTCGGTCAAACTCTCTGTGCCAGCTCCGACGTGCAGCCCTCGTTCCTGCGTTCTCCCCAGCGATCTGAAGTTCCTAGGAAGCACTGTCCAGGCACCACTGAGCACCTCTCAGGCTGTCTATGGGGGCTGCCTGGAGAGCACCTTCTGAGGATTCTGAATCAACCAAAATCTGCTCCACAAACCGAGAACTGGCTCCTTCATTAAGTGAGCCTGGGAAAGCGTTTGTCCCTCCTACCCATGGCTGCCCAATGCACCTCACCAGTGCCACCTCAGTCGAGACAGGAGCACGTGGCGGGGGGCCTGCCCTCGTGCAGAACCCACGTGGCCCAAGGACAGGCGCATCCCCAGAGGGCGTTTCCCCAGAGGCACGAGTTTGCAAAGTGAGATACCCCCCACCCCGTAAAATTATTCTCTTATCCCGGGATATAAACAGGGTCGAAATCCCAAGTAGAACCAGGTGGATTATCTCAGCTAGACTGGACTCAGCCGTGGAGAAGCTGGATTCCGCTTTCCAGACCCACCCAGGCGAGGCCCTGCGGCTGAGCCCGGCTTCCTGAGCAGAGCTGAGGACCAGCCACGGAACCTGGCCATGCGACCAGCGCTGGCGAAAGGAAGAATGACACTTCCCCCAGAAGTCAGCCCCTGTCATCTCGCCAGAGGCGCATGTGAGAACACAGAGGGCCGTCTGTACCTGGGTGCTCTGAGCCTGTCCTTCGGGGAGCCGTCACCTGCTTGAGGATGGCAGATCCCCCCCACTCACCCCAGGGTGGTCCCCCAGCCCATCCCAAAACTGGTCTTTGCACCAGCAGCCGGTGCAGAGGAGCTACAAGTTGACACAGTGCTAATATTTCCCATTCCATAGGAAACGGGAGAATCAGCCAAAAACGCCATCAATGCCCGAGTGTTTCCCTTTGGGAAGAGCAGACTCCCCATTAAGTAATTAATACGCAGGGGAAGTTTGGAGGAAAGAACGCACACCGGCTGTCTGGCTTTTACGTAACATCCCGAGAGGACGCAAGAAGCACAGAAACAAGAACTGTCAAAATTTCAAATCCACTGCAAAGATCGTTACATCTTCGTAAACATCTCATAAATGTTTGAGGAGGTCTGAAGGAAAATCTGAAAACAATATAAACATTATTGGACCCTTTCTTTCTTAATCTGAGGATTCCCAGCAGCAACCAGACCAGGCAGCCTTGGGGCTCACCGCCGCTGCCCACGGCACCACTCACAGTCACCCAACAAATGTCCAATCCCACGTGCCCCGGACACTTTGTCATCTCTGTCACGCAGTAACCTAATGAGGCTTAGCCTCTCTGCCCACTGGAAACCAGCCCCCCCTGCCACACCGCTCTGCCCCAGGACCACACGGCAGTCACCAGCTGTAATGTTTATTCCAAAGGGGAAAAGTAGAGTCGGAGGAGGGAAGCGAGCTTTCCGTGTTCCCAAACGCGCCCAGACCCACTGAAGTTCTCCTGGTTCCCCGTTCCCACTGATAATAATCACACTAGTGTTTGGGGAAGCAGGGACGAGGCGTTTGCCTGCATGAGGGGGAGCTCACGGCCCTTCCTGCTGGTGTGAATAAAGACTCGGGGGGAGATTTCATCCCTGGTGAAGAAAAACGTGCAAGAAAGGGCATTGCTTCCCATGTGGACACCCCTCTGGGCCGCCCGGGGTGGGTGGGGGGAGTCAGCTCGCAGTCTCCGGCCCGCCGTCAATGACTCTGGGTCCCGGGCACAGATCCACAGATCCGGAGAGGAGCCCCCGGTGTGGGATGCCTCCCTGGGCTTTTCAGTCAAACCAACAAGCAGAGACAACCTGGCAAATCCAGAAAGTTCGTGCGACTGTGCCATTTAAAATGTGCCCGGAAACAGCCACGGCCACAGGGGAAAGAGGACCTGAGAGCCAAGTGCGGCTGTGAGCGCCTCGGGGCCGGGAGGTCAAGGGGTCTGCGCTGCTGTTTGGGGCTCGGGTCTGACAGGCAGAGAGGCGCGGCAGCCCCCTGACGCTGGCGCCGGGGGAGGCCGGCGGGTAGCGGGCCCAGGGGCGCCGACGTTTCTGGAAAAGCCTGTGCCACGGCTGACCCTCCTCTTTCCAGGATCTCTGTGTGCAGGTACCGGACGTTCGGAGCCAGCAGGTGCATTTCGCTGCCGCCTCAGAAGCGCCCCCGCCCGCACCCTAAGCGGACGTGGACTCGGCACCCTGGGCTGCGGACCCCCAACTTCCCGAGCCTCCGCAGCAACAGTTTTCCAGCCGGACGAGTACTGCCAACGCCTCCTGGGAAAATGCCCGCCAGCACCCAGGGCGCTAAAGGCAGGGACACGAAAGGACACCGAGCCTGGCCCCGAGGACGGCGGGGGGCGGTGGGAGGCGAGCCAGGGGCCAAGACTGCAGACGCCATCTCCAGAACTCACACAGTAGAAACTTCCCGAGGGCGCGAGCGAGGTGCGCGTCCCCTCCAGGGGAGAGCCCCGAAGCTCAGGGCAGAGCCGGAGAAAGGTTCAGGCGAGGGGACCCGAGCGCGGCTGGATCCGCTCCCCGCCCGTTGGTGGTGGCCGGAGCGGGTCTCAGACTCGCGCACGCAGCTACCTCCGCGCGGAGGTTCGCGGAAAGGGGCCAGGAGGGTCTCCTTCAGTGTCACAGGGCGAATCCCGGGCACCGCGCTGAGCCGGGACCTGGAATCCAGGCCCCGGCGGGACGCGTTGGCGCAAACAAAGTTGGGGCGCAGAGACACTCGGTGCGTGGGTCCCCGCGTCCGTGAGCCCCTGCCCGCGGCGCGCCACTACTTACACGAAGACCCCGAAGAGCAGGGCTCGGACCCCTATCTCGATGGCCAGCTCACGCATGGTGCAGCCGGAGCGGATCCCGCGTAGGCGGCGGCTGGTGCTCTCCGCGGCTCCCGCAGCTCGGCCGGCGCCGGCTCGCTAGACCCGGGGCTGGGAGGGAGGCGCGCTCCAGGCCGCGGGCGGGGACGGGGGCGGGAGGCGGGCGCCAGGCGGGGGCGGGCGGCGGCGGGGAGCGTTCAACCCAAACCTCCCGCGTTGGATCCCGGGGTTCGAGGACGCCGCGGTAGCTCGCCCGGCGCTCCGGGTCCCGCGTCCCCGTGCCGAGCGTGCGGCGCCCCTGGGACTCCCCACTCCTGCGCGCCGAGCGCCGCCTCCGCGGCCGGGTTGGGGAAGCCCCGCCGCCGCCCCTGCGCGCTCCCCGGCTCCCCGCCAGTGGGCGGCCCCTGGGCAGCGCGCCGGCTGAGTCTTTGCCCGCAGCCCCTCCGCGTCTCCTCGCTCCCCGGGCTCCCACCCCCGGGCACACACACGCACGTGGGCAGGTAGTACAGGACGCTGTAGGGACTCTCTGGCGCTCCAGGCAGCCCTGGCAGCCGCTGTTCGTGCAGAGCAGAGCTCCTCCCTTCGTTTTCCGCGCTCCCTACACCCTTCCAGCCTGAATCCCTGCCCTCCCCAGGAAGTTTCCCCAGGCCACTCGCAGGCTTCCTTTCTCCCTCAGGAAGAGCCGCCCAGGCGAGCGCCGGCCCCGACGGAAGGCGGGGGGGGGGGGGGGGGGCTGGCTGCTCCGCATGTCGCCAGCGCCAGGTGACCCCTAGGAATGGGCCCGGATAGTCCGTGAGCTCGTTCTCTCTCTCTCTCTCTCCCTCTCTCTCTCTCTCTCTCTCTCTCTCTCTCTCTCTCTCACACACACACACACACACGCACACACAGTAATTTATCAAGGCAGGTCCCTCTTCGGGACAGATAAGCTTCGCTCCCCATGATAGGAGTGACGATGGCAGGACTGGACCACAAACCCCACGGAACAGCCGGCCACTCCACGGGTTCGGAGGTGGCTGGCTCCAGCAGCTGTCCAGCTGTGGACCTGTGCCAAATCATAGAACCTTCCAGAAGCGCCACTTTGCTGCCCCAGCTGACGAGAGCATGGACGAAGAAGTGAAGCAGTCAAGGCAGGTTCAACAAAGCGATCCAGCTACAGCACCCAGGTGCCCCCGCTGGCAGCCCCGGCTGGGTCTCCCTGACCCCCGTGGAGTGTGAATTGTTTGCAGGGGAAGGAAGCGTGGGTCGGAGGTCCCAGACGTCTCGGAGACACTCTATCATAAGGGACCAAATACACACGTTTGCCCCTCGCCTGAACATTAACCAGCACCGTCGCCGTCAACTGTGAGACTGAAGTTTGAAAAGTCACTTCAGAATGGGGCACTCGAGTGTAAGAGCCGCTCCCTGCGGTGCTTTGGCGGCTGCGCGGTCCCCGAAGTGCCACTTCGCGAACATCGCCCGCATTTCACGGGGCGCTTCTGGGCATGTCCCGGGAACCACCACCCTCATCCCTCCACAGCCGTGCCTCTGCTGTTGGATTTTTTAAAAAATCCCCAAACAATATTGTCCAGTATGATCATCCCATCTCGACCAGACTTTTGCTATTTTCAAAAGCCGAGGTCACCTTTGGCGAACACAACTTTGCAACAATGTCTTATAACCCCGTTTCCAGAGGTTATGCTTTGTATCTCGCTGGCCCCCGCCTAGCTGCTCTAAGAGTACGGCCTGGCAACAGGTGGCCACATGGGGCCCTTGCCTGCAGGGACCCGCCCATGCAGGCTTTCCGGGGTCACCTGCTGTGAACTCGCGGAGATGCTGAAACCACCAACGACCCAAGAGGAATTTCAGAGGAGGTGGCCGAGTTCAGCCTGGTACATCAGCATCTTCCGTGCCGGTCTCAGGGAATACCTGTCCTCTTGAATGCCCCCAGGGATGTGGCACTCACTCACTGCTCATTCCCTTTCCTGAAGAGAGCTGCTGGGGTTGCTCAGGCACAAACAGACTTGCAGGATGTAGACTGGCCCGTAGCCTACCTCCCTGGGTCCAAATGGTGCTCTGTGGCCCACACAGAACAAACGTAACGCCTGCTCTTCTGCATTCTAGCTCTTTGTTCTACAATGAGAAGGTGGGGAGATGGTGGTGAGGATGGAGACGGACACAGAGGGGGAAGGACAGGGAAGGGGAGATGGGGGTGGAGAGGGGAGATGTGGCCATTGTAGCTGCAGTTTGGGGTGTAATCATGCTGATTGAGTTCATCTCAGTCATGAACCAGTGAAAAGGGGTGAAGTCTTAAGCTACAGTCGGTTACTATTAGCAGAAGAAGGAAGGGGGGGTGTTGGGAAGGCAGATTTCCAATGCCCAGCACACAAGCTGCCCACCGCAGAGATCTCCCTAGGAGGCCATGGCCGCGAGAACAGGACCTGTTTCCCCATTCCCTGCCATGTCCCGTAGGGGAGTGCCTGGCGCGGAGCAGGTGCTCGGTAAACACTAACGTTTGTTGTGTGAAGAGGTGAATGGATGCACCTCGAGCACTGGGGGAACCTGGTAAATGGGGCATCACATGATGTTGTTCTGCTCATCTCTGCCTTTGTCCAGACCAGGACCTCACGGAGCAGTTGGGTCCCCAACCACAGCTAGCAGCCGTGTCTGTGCATGTTAAACCGCCTGTCTGGGCGTCCCTTCGCCGCTCAAGTTTAAAGCAGACAACACATGCTATTTTCTGTCACGTGCAGGTGACCTTGATGAGTTTCACACATATATATAACATATAATATATTCTATATGGCATATAATAATATACATTACATACATAACAACATATATAATATACATTATATGTAAGATGTATGTGAGAGGACTAGAGATCGTATCTTGGAGCACAACTTCTGAAAAGCATCTTCCCAGTCTGTATTCTCCCCCAAAGAGATTAAGGAGGGTCTCCTGCCGGGCACACTGTGTTTAGAGGAGTGACAGAGGGACACACACACGCCTGGACACAACGGCCCAGCACCACTGCCGGTGACGGGCAGGTGGGCCTCCGGATTTCCAGAGCTGTTAGCCGGTCAGTGCGCAGCCCTCCCTGATGGGGACCACAAAACCGCCCCCCCCACCAGGAGTGAAGGCTGCCTCATCGGGCTTTCTAGTAGCCGACTTCTCCAGGTGTGACTCCCAAAGGGATGGTGTTTTCCCACCGTAGTGTGTGAATAACGCTGGGATTTGGGGGAGCACGTAAAACCCCCATAAATTGTTTTTGTAAAGTTCGGGGTATGTTTTCTGAGAAGAGGGTACATGATGTTTATCTGACTCTCTGAAAGCTGGCGTCACACACCGTGAAGCTAATAGGCATGAAAACAGGTAAGACCTCGAGAAATCAGACCCCACTGACCAGGAGTAAGGCCCTGCGGCTAGCTGTGCCTGTAGCCCCCAACACTGGGGCTTCCCAGCGACCTAAGCCACTGCAGTCCTGGTTGTGATCAAGACAGTTTGATTGGGATCTTCTTTTCCCATCTCTGAGACCTGACTGAACTCTTAGAATCTACTCGATCTCTGTTTGCCAGGTGGCTCCCTGTGCGCAGCACTGCTGAGGGCTGTGTGGGAAACCCAGGAGGCACAGACGCTGCGAGTTTCCTTAGGAAACCAAGATCAACACCCCCACAGCAAGACGCCAGCGACTCGGGGCTCCATTACATGGTGCAGACACTGGCAGAGCAGCTGAGCGAGGCTGTTCTGCCCACCGATCCGCGGTAGAATAGCATTCCGTTCCAGAATGCCTCGCTCCTTCCTCGGCCTCCAGCGATCCTACCTGTGACCAGGAATGGTCCGTGGGGGACAGCAGCAGAGAGGGATGTCACCAGGACAAAGCTGGCCCTCGCCTGTTTTACCTGCCGCTCATCTCCTTAGTTAATTCACAGGTCTGTTTTGTAACTTTCCGGGACACGAGATGCTCTGACACTTGAGTAATAAGTGATATTCACGTGATGTTTCCCCTTTGTCCGTGCGAAGGGTGCTAATGAGAATGGACGCCAGAGTCAAGTAACAGGCCTCCCTCCCTTTCAAGTTCATGATCATTACTACCAGCAACATCCTTCATCTACGCAGGGAAAAGGCAAAATGGAGATGCCAGCAGCGCAGAAGGTTTTCCTCATGTTTGTCCTGGAGTTGAAGCAGAGGATTAATAACAGGCCAAGGGCCCTGGCTGGCATAGCTCAGTGGATTGAGTGCGAGCTGTGAACCAGAGCATCGCAGGTTCGATTCCCAGTCAGGGCACATGCCTGTGTTGCAGGCCACGGCCCCCAGCCACCACACATTGATGTTTCTCTCTCTCTCTCTCTCTCTCTCTCCCTCCCTCCCTTCCCTCTCTAAAAATAAAGAAATAAAATCTTTAAAAAAGAAATAACAGGCAAAGGGCCAGGGGACCCCCAGGTGGGGCGTCCAGGTATCCCTGTAATCACTAAGTGCCATCTCCAAAGCAAGGGCTCCCCGGGAGGGGTGGGCAGGTGAGTGGATCAGCCCTTGGGCACCGACAGAAGCACTCCAAAAGGAATAGTCCTGCACTAACAACCAGTGCGCTGTTCATACAGCAGACACCTCAAGTTCCAAGGAATTGTTGGTAAAGACAGAAGTTAAGGGAGGTGGGAGGTGTACGGGAGAGACACTGTGTGTTCCACACATCAACTGGCTTGTTGTAAAAAGAGGGAACGTGATCCTGCATGATTCTTGATCAGTGTTTATCAGTATTATACAGACGAAAAGACACCCTGTTTTAGGAAGAGAAAGGCCCTCGCTTCCCGCCTGTCCCCATCTGTGCCCTCGGGGACAGTTCATAAATCTGTGGACTGGCGGAAAAGGGCACCGGCTTTTTGCACGGAGGTCCATCAGAGGTGTGGTCTTGATGAGGCCTTTGGAGCTGGACAGACCTAGGCTTGAACCCCACCTCTGTGCCCCCTCGTCTTTGTGACATGGGGCAAGTGACGGAACCTCTCTGCTTTGGTCTCCATAAGATGAGGGTGGTCATTGTACCCTCCCGGAGGAGCAGTGGGGGCCCCGGTGAGACGGAGCACTGAAGTGCTGAGTCCTGGGCACGGC